TTCTCAAAACATTTGCTTTCTACTTGAGCCCTTGGTATCACTTCCTCATTTTTCCCTCCTCCAGCCTCTCACCCTCTATTAAGTCTTTCAAAGAGACAAAGATAACAACACAGACATCATCTGGAATAGGGAAGCCATTAGTACAAGGTCATAATGGCACCCAGGGATTCTCAGTCAGGATGATAGTTAAATAAAGCATGGAACAAAGGAAACTGTCACATTGATTCATTGATTAGTGGCAGATCAATACATGACAGTTACTGGTAGAACTATAGAATCTGGACCAGGACTGTTAGGGACAAATACATTGTTAGATAGAAGTTAGAAGATTGGACCAGTGCAATCAGGACACAACTTGACTCATGATTATGTGACCCCCAGTACTGTCCATCAAGGACACAATCAGGCATGCCCCCGAGGCAGCCCCTCCCTGGGTTGAAGAGGGGCAGGAGGAAATCCACTTTCTAGTGCATTCTGCCTGGGGCAAGGTTATCTACACCCATGGTTAATGATCAGAAGGAGTTCAATGGAGATTTAATTCTATGTGGGGTCTCAAAAGGACTTTAGGTTTTCACAGTCATCCATAGCCTCCTGCAAATGGGGTGCTCAGAATTTAAGCTGCAGGATACCTTTTAATTACCCTAATGGCCTCCAGTTTTCATTTGTATTATATTAGTATCTTAAATTGCCACTGGGAAAGAGTGGCTGGATACGCACTAATATTTTATTTTAAATCGAGTTTGTTGCCAAAACCAGGTTGTTTCAGGCATCTAATATAGGAAGTTCTCTGGTTCTGTTTGTTTTTGTTTTTGTTCTCTCTGTTTTACAAGTGTAAATTCAGTGCTTGGGTTGAATAAGTAATTTTTACTGAGTTTTGTTTTGGTTGCGGTATTAAAATAAATCATATCTTTGTGTTTATAAAGATATATTGATATATTTCTCAAAGAAAGGAAGTTAATTCAAATTTCATAGTAAATTTTCTTTCATAAGCCTCCCTGCATTATCTTTTTTGCATGATCTCTTTTTAAATAGCTTTATTTCATGGCATTATCTTTGCTATACCACTTGACATGTAATTTGTACATTTTAAATATATATTTCATCTGAAAATAGTTTTATCTATTAATTTTGTAGCCACTGGAAAAGAAGTTTGTCCGAGTTTCAGGAGAAGCAACTATTGGGCATGTAGAAAAATTCCTCAGAAGAAAACTGGGTCTGGATCCAGCTTGTCAGGTATGGTACATAGATGGAAAAGAGCAGCTAGAGGTGTAAGCTTAACTTTAGCATATTGAAAAATTAACTGTAGGAGCTCATGCTGCAACTTTTGTTTTCTGATACTGTAGACATTATAAATAGAATTAAATTCTGGCACGGGGTGATTTTAACCCCCGACTCTGACCACAGTTGACTTGGCTATTTTTCACTACCACTGATGACTATTGAGTCAAAGAAAAGTTGAGTTTTGAGAAGTAATAAGGAGCTTCAATGGCCACAAGTTCCAGTTCTTTCTCTCTCTTTTGATGAGAAAAGTTAGAGTGAAAGATTACTTATTCACTTCTCTTTAGAAACATCCTAGCATTATTGTTGGACTTGTTCAAATGTAACAAGCAAGCTCAAAAGACCTAGAAAAGTAAAATTATTTTTGTCTTTATATAGAATCTGTTTTTCTTTTCTTTTCTTTTTTAAATAATTTTATTGGGAGTCTTACAACTCTTGTTACAAACCATACATCAATTGTATCCGACATATTCACACATATATTCCATCATTCTTTTCTAGACATTTACTTTCTATTGAGCCCTTGGGATCACCGCCTCTTTTTTTCCCTCCCTCCCTCCACGCCCCCCACCCCCAATCTGTTTTTCTTTAAGGATCGAAAAGATCTGCTATTCAGATATATATCTTGTTGCTCTAAGACAAACCTCAAATTTCATAATTCTGGTTCTGAGGACCCAGTAAAAAATGGCTCATTTATATAGATGTATACTTTTTCCTTTGTTAAATTTAAAATGGATTGTTATTTTCCATCGCTGTAAAATTTCTTAGGATAACATAATGCCATGTTTGCTTTGATTAATGTTTAAAAAGAATGAAAAAAAGAAACAGCAGACAGACTTGGGGTGGGGGTAAATAATGAAAAAAAATTAATAATGAAATTAAAAAATAATAACATTTGTAATTTTTTAGTACCAACATATATTGGTACTAAATATATCTTAGATATGATGGGGTTCAAAAGGTTCGTGGAAAAATTGAATTAAAAGATCATAAAATTCTTCTAGGAACATTTTGAAGCCCCCTTGTGTAAAATTCAATGAAATTGACTTCTTGGTGGACTTGAGATAATGCTTATACCTCATGATAACTGAAAATTAATTATTTTGTTAGGCATAGCATGTCAGTTTGAAATATGTATATGTGTACCTATACACATATGACAGAACCACATAAATAATGAACTAGCATATAATGTACATAGCACGTACAGAAATCTAATGCTCAAGGGGTTGTGTAGTTTGAGAAAACCATGCTATTTGTATAAAACTGTGGTCCTTTAGCAGTCTGTCATTGTTTAGATTAACTAAAAATCAAGAGGACCCTCTTTAGGTTATAGACTACTTTTCCCTGTGACTAGATATGAGGGGACATCAAAATGTTTCTGGGAAGATTCCATTTTATATGGATAGCTTTTTTCCCGTGAACTCTTTGTAACCACCTTCTATTGATCAGAACTCTAATAATTTACATTTATAACTCTCACTTTGTTTATAAGCTAGTTTTATTGTGTAATAATACAGGTTTCTTTGTTCCTTATATCAGAATCCCAAGGTGTCTAGCATTTTTAAATAGAACTTATTTCAACTTTCCGTTTTCTCGTGTCATTGCCTTCTCTGTCATTACTCTGAGTTAGTAGCCCTCCTCCAATCAGATACTAGAGGAGTCCTGGTAGATTATGTGTTGGACTGCTAACTGAAACTGACAGCAGCTCTGCCGGAGAAGGTGAGCATTTCTATTCCCATAAAAATGTGCAGTCTCAGAAACCCACAAGGGCAGTTCTAGTATGTCCTACAGGGTTGTTATGAATCGTAATCAATTCAATGGTAATTGAATTTCCAGGTACCTTTAGTTTTGGAAGAGTCACACAGTTGTTGTACATTAACTCAGGTTAAGACAAAAAACAGCTGTTGACCATGAGCCAGCAAACAGTACAGTAAGATTCGTTAAGTTTTAGGCCAGTCTCAGGATGTCTTTGTTGACTAACAAGATAACAAGGCTTAGTTTTTGATCACCAACAGGTATATAAGAGAAGACTCCTCTTTAGATGACCTCTGCACCCACCTTGTCTGTGTTATATAAATTTTGTAGAGACTACATTCATAAAGCACCTTTGGCTAACTGCATTTTGCAATGGGGATTTTTCTAACTACAGTAAGTAAAATAATTGGGGTTACACATTCCTCTCCAAAAACTCACTGCCATCAACTTGATTCCGACTCATAGTGGCATAGTAGGGTTACATGTTGGACTGGTAACTAACTACAAGGTAAGCAGTTCCAAACCACCAGCCACTCTGCGGAAGAAAGATGAGACTTTCTACTCCTGTAAAGAGTTACAGTCTCAGAAACTCACAGGGGCAGCTCTGCTCTATGAGATGATGTATCCCTACCATTCATTTATTTATCACTCATTGAGCATCTGTATTCTTGGCCTTAGGAGTACAAAGATGAGACAGAAAATTTGTGCTGTCAGAGGACTCAGAGTTTTATAGGGAAAATAAATGACAGAGACGTGGTGGGTACAAAAACAGAGATAGCATAAGAATGAATGCTCTGGAGGAGTCAAGGAACATTTGTAGATAGGAATTTGCCAAATGGACAACAGAAGAAAGAACTTGCTGGCAAAGGAAAGAGTAAATGTGAACAAAGTCAAATATACTAGTGTGGTTTATAAAGCCCATTCAGTGAAGAATCTATCTTGGAAGCTCTACTGTAATCTTGCTTCTTTTTAATTTTTATTTGGGGCTCATACAACTCATCACAATCCATACATACATCAATTGTGTAAAGCACATTTGTACATTTGTTACCCTCATTATTCTTTTTTTTTTTTAGTTATTTTATTGAGGGCTCGTACATTTCTTATCACAGTCCATACATACATACATTGAGTCAAGCACCTATGTACACCTGTTGCCCTCATCAATCTCAAAACATTTGCTCTCTACTTTAGCCGTCAATATCGTTTGCTCCTTTTCCCCCTCCCTCCCTCCTCCCCCTCCCCCTGAACCCTTCATAATTCATAAATTATTATAGATTTGTCATGATCTTGCTTTTTGAAAGATAAAATTTTCCTCCCTTCATAAGACTGCCATCACAATCTGGTTTCTGCTCTGAGATCGGGACATTTATTGTACCCTCCACTGGAATCGACACTGTGGTTGCAACAATAGCCTCAAATATGACAACTGTGAGGGTCAGGCAGAATGCAGCAGTGCTTCCTTCTGTTCTGGTCACTATGAGTTGGAACTCACAATACAGCAGCAACAACATGCTGGATGTCTTCTTTGGGCTGCAGAGGAAGCGTATATGTAGTAACCCTATGCATGGTTTTCCACACACTACCTATGTGTACTTACTGTGTTGCTATAATAAATCTTAACCATGATTATGTTAAACCCTATTTTTCCTTTGATCGTGTGGACATGGTAGGGATCTCAAAAGTAAAATGTAACTTTATATTTGAAAAATAAATTTAGGAAATGTTTACAGTCAGATAGCTTTTTAAAATCGGTGTGTAAAATTGGAAGCAATTAAAATTTCTCATTAGGGAAACAGATACATGTTATGAGATATCCACACAAAGAAACAGTTTTCAGCTATTAATGAAAAAGCTAACTTTGTACTCCAAAAAATAACCATGGTGTATTAAATTTTGTTTCTCTTTAGGAATTTGTAGGACAATATGTGTTCCATGATTTTATTTTTATTTAAAAAAACAAACACTGGTTCTTAAAATATTTAGGACCATACATATCAAACTGTTAGTACGTGACTAGCCTTTTGAGAACTGGGATTGAAGTTTAAATCAAAGGTTTTTGAAAATTCAAGGTTAAAAATAATAAAGTAATCAAATAAGTATATGCTATGTGGGGGTCTCTATTGCTGAATACGTAATAAAAACATGGTAGTTTCCAAAGGAATGAATTTTTCATGTTCTAAATTCTGTGCTCCACATTTGATAACATTACTTTTGTTTTTTATCTTTCTGGCATTACTTTTATAAGTAGACTTTTATTGTCCCAGAGCCATGCTTTGATGCTATGGTGGCAGAGTGGAGCAGAAGCAACAGAGACCTAAAGGCCCAGTTCACCTAACATATTCACTATTTGACAATATTTGCTATTTGACAACTTGACAGAAACTTGGCCAGTCTCTTAGGGAGCACTTAGGCTTTAAAGCTAAGTAGAACTGGATTTAGATGTGATCTTTGTGACCTTAAAAGAAAGAAAGAAATCCTGCCATCTAGTTAATTCTGACTTATAGAGACCTTTACAAGACAGAGTAGAATTTCTCCATAGAGTATCAGAATCTGTGAATCTTTATAAGAACAGATAACCTTACCTGTCTTCCATGGACAGGGTAGTGGGTTTCAACTGTTGACCTCATGATTAGCAGCCCAGTGCTTTACCTGCTGCACAACTAGGGCTCCTTGTGACCTTATGAAAGTTTAATGTCTGTAAGATATGACAAAATAATAATATATAAATTATCAAGGGTTCATGAGGGAAGGGGGAGGGAAAGGGAGGGGAAATGAGGAGCCATGCCAGGGGCTTAGGTGGAGAGCAGATGTTTTGAGAATGATGAGGGCAATGAATGTCCAAATGTGCTTTACACAATTGATGTATGCATGGATTGTGATGAGAGTTGTGTGTGCCCCTAATAAAATGATGAGGGGAAAAAAAGTTTAATGTTGCCTCACATTATCTCTCTATATAAAATGAGAACTATAGTGCCTGGCTCGCAAATGTGAGCGTTATATGAGATGACGTGTCACGTACCCATGTATAACATATGATGCATAGCGATTGCTCAGTTAAATGTAGTTGTTTATACTGTACCTTCCCAACCATGCTGAGTGCTTTAGGAAGATTAATAAATAATTTGGGTATGGTGAGGAGGTGGTTTCAGGGGTTCAAGCCTAAGGGTAGCTAGCACTTGAAAAGATGCTATGGATTCAGATAACATGAAGAAAGACGCAACAGAACTTTGTAACTGATTCCATGTGAGGAGAAAGGAATCGGGTTCTAGTCTAGATTAGAAGATGGAGAGATTTCACACTAAATAGAAGGAGCCCAGGTGTCCAGGTCAAGCAGAGGCCAGAGTGGTTTCCTCTGCTAACTGAAAGAAAGGTCTACATTTCAGACCTGCCAGTCTCTCCATGACAAAAAGGTGTTGCAGATTTTTAAAGAATTTACAGCCTTAGAAATCCTAGGGGCAATTCTACTACGTCCTTTTTTTTTTCTTTTTCTTTTTTTAATTCTTTTTACAAACCCTTGTGTTGAGGGCTGACTTTCAATAGATCACAGCGAGGGAGCTGCTTTGCTACATAGGAAACCCCGACCCAGAAGCAGGTCGTCTACGAATGGTTTAGCACCAGGCTCCCCACGTGCTGTGCGTGACAGCGAGGGGGCGGCCGCCTTTCTGGCCACGCCCCGTTTCCCAGTACCCCAGTCCCGACGTGCGCACGCAGCCGCTCTACTCCGACCTTAAAGGGTCAAGATGAGTCAGAATCAACTTGATGGTTATGGGTTTGTTTTGGATTACTAAATAGAAACATTAGGAGCTTGAGGTAATTAAGTGATTGATATTTGTAAGGTATTGAGGACCTGGCCCCATTTTAAGACAGTGAGAGGGAGTACTTTGTGTGAGAGATTTGCATTTCTACCTTAATAAGTAAGTACTGGAATTTAAAAAAATATATACAACAATCCCATTCTTCCTGGAGAATATTATATAGAAGTGGTGTATCTCAGTGCTTTGACATTTCTAAAGAGCTGTAAAGGCCTTAAGATTGTTTCATTCAAGGACCTAATGCCAGGACTTAAGTGGAGAAGAAATGTTTTGAGAATGATGAGGGCAATGAATGTACAAATGTGCTTTACACAATTGATGTATGTATGGATAGTGAGAAGAGTTGTATGAACCCCTAATAAAATGATTTAAAAAAAAGATTGTTTCATTTGTAAAAAATTCCTTCAGTGTGAGCTTTAAGGGAGTTTAATGCTTTGACTGACTGGTGTGGCATTGTTAGAGAATAAAAGCTTCCCCATCAAATTTCTTTTAAAGCATGCATGCCTTTTTTAAAAAAAATCGTTTTATCACAAAACTTTCTTTTAAATCTACCTTCCTGTGTATTGAATGGGATTTAACTTGTCAGATTCAAGGAAATATTATCACTTACACTGTGTGCTGTTGTACTGCTGTGTCCTCTAACTTGAATTCTCTTTCCACTTTGCCTTTCTTCTACTGATATTTTTTCGAAACCTCTCTTGAGAAGTATAGCCTGGGAATAATCATGCTAATTTTCCTTCATTTTTTCAAATGGATTTTGAAGCAGAAGCAATCTGACTTTTGTGTCTCCCTATAGGTAGATATCATATGTGGTGATCACCTGTTGGAGCAGTATCAAACTCTAAGAGAAATCCGACGTGCAATAGGTGATGCAGCTATGCAGGTAGGTCTCGAGCCTTTGCCTGACAGGCATCACATGATGATTTTTAAATAAATATTTCACACTTCCTTAAAATTATCTGGACCATATATAAGAGTATGTCTAATATACTAATATTTATCGAGTGCTTACTGTCTGCCAGCCCTGTTTTAAGTAGTTTGTATGGATTGGTTGCCTAGGGCTGGGGGCAAGTGACTGTTACTGGGTATGCGTTTTCTTTTTGAGATGACGAAAATGTTCTAAACACTGATTATAGTGATGATAACAGAATTCTGGATATACTAAAAAAGAAATCTTTGAATTCTATTCCTTGAATGGGTGGTTGTATGGGATTTGAATTATATCTCAATAAGTTTGTCATAAAAAAAACAAAGAGCCTAATCTTTGTTGGAAAAAATTAAAGCAGTGGTTGCTTTTAGTGGTAGAGACAAGTATTGACTACGTAGGAGCAAATGGGAATTTTGGGTGGATGATGGGAGTATTCTAACTTGATAAGGAATTTGTATTAAGCCATATTCATTTGTTAAAGTTCATGCATTTCATTATATGTAGATTAAGAGTCTGTTTCTCAAATTTCATGCTGATAATTTTTCATCTCTAAAAGTAGCCCAATTTCTAATGCAAACAAATTTAGAAGGCTAGGAGTATAGCCATCATTGTGTATAAATCAATGTAAAAATTATTTTCATAATTTTTTCTAATGGTACTTAAACTTTTTAAAAAATTTTAATCTCAGTTTTTATTACTTTGGTAAAACTTGTCTAATTGAATATTCATTGGATATATTGCTCCAAGGCTACTAGTCTATCTGACCTGTGAGATTATAGGTTATAATAACTTTCTTTATTTAAAGGCCTGCCATAATTTTTTATGTGTCGTTTAAAAACAAGGAAGGAGGTTGTTGGTCATCTTTCTGTTTCTTTGTAAAAGTTATTGGTGTTCCCACTAAAGTGTGAAATGTTTTTGCAATACAGTCCACCTAGATAGAATGAGATGAGTGAAATAGTGTTAGGATTTAGTGAAAAAAGAGTCTTGCTCCAACTTAAGAACAATAGTTCTTACATCACGACCCTGCTCAATACTCACCCTCAGGAAGGGTTGAATGAAATGAGGGACAAAATGTCCCTCACGTAAGAGCTGAGATCTGGGCAGACATAGGCTATGGCAAGAACTTGACATTTTAATTGAGTAAAATGGGATGTATATGAATTATATTTTCAAAGAATATTAAAAATACCATGGACTGCCAGAACAGTAATCCAGTCTATCTTAGAGAAAGTATAATACTGTCAGAATTAGAAATGAGGATGATGAGACTTTGTCTCATATGCTTTGGACATATTATTGGGAGGGACCAGTCCCTGGAAAAGGACATCATGCTTGGTAAAGTAAAAACCAAACCAAACTCGTCGTCAAGTTGATGCAATTCATAGTGACACTGTGGGATAGGGTGGAACTGCTTCTCGTGAGTTTACTGTAAAGCAGTGGTTCTCAACTTTCCTCATGCCGTGACCCTTTCATACAGTTCCTCATGTTGTGGTGACCTCCCAACCATAAAATTATTTTCATTGCTACTTCATAACTGTCATTTTGCTACTGTTATGAATCGGGCGACCCCTGTGAAAGGGTTGTTCGGCCCCCAAAGGGGTTGCGACCCACAGGTTGAGAACCGCTGCTGTCAAGGGTTAGCAAAAAGGATGAAGACCCTAAGGAGATGCATTGACACAGTGTCTACCACAGTGGGTTCAAACATGACAGTCGTGAGGATGGCACCAATGGGGCAGTGTCTCATTCTGTTGTGCATGGGGTTGCTGTGAGTCAGAGCTGACTCCACAGACCCCAACAGCATAGGTGAGAAACTGAAAGGACAGGATCTGACTACTTACAATTAAGAATATTATAATGGAAAGAGAAAAAATAAATATACACACACTGTGTAGTGGGTTCAGTCTTGGGTTGCTAACCAAAAAGGTGGGTAGTTCGAATCCACTACTGCTCTGATAGAGGAAAATGAGATTACTTGCTTCCTTAAACATTTATAGCCTCTGAAACCCTATGGAACCATTCTACACTGTCATATCCTATGGAGTTGCTATGAGTCAGAATCAACCTAATGGCAGTGGATTTTGGAGTAGAATACACACACACATAAATAATTTACATAGTCATTAACATTATTTAAAATAAATAGACATTGAGATATAAACTTACAGGTAATCTCATTTCATAAAATGTGATTTTATATATGCTTTGAACTGATTCTGAGACCTTGAAACAGTTTGTAATCTATTTTCAGTTTTGTATCTCTGCATGTCAAAGTACTGTCTTAGACATATTTTTCGGGGGGAGCACGGAGGGAGGGGGAAAATGAGGACCTAATGTTGGGGGTTTAAGTTGAGAGAAGATGTTTTGAGACTGATGTACAAATGTGCTTTACACAATTGATGTCTGTATGGATTGCGATAACAGTTGTATGAGCCCCTAATAAAATGCTTAAAATAAATAAATAAACAAACAAAATTTAAAAAAATAAATATTTTTCCTTTTGGACACAATTACAAAATTTAACTTGTAAAATATAATTTGTATGCTTGTACAAATGTTAATGCAGTCTTTCTATTTGTGTTATAATAAATTAACTAATTTTGATTAGGTCAGTCTGGAACAGATATGGCCCATAGGCTAAACATGGTATGAGATAATTCTTTTTTTTTTTTTTTTGAGATAATTCTTTGCTGGGTTTATTCTAGGTTTCAAATATTTTTTCGTTTAAATTCTCGTTGGTTTACCACTAGTTGCCAACATTCCATATTGGCTCATATACTTAACTCATATATTCACTTACTGTATATTAAGCATTTGGATTCTAGAATTCTGGCAAGTTTTCTCTGGAGTTGCCAAAAACAGAAACCAGATTGCAGTGAGTTGAGTAGTGAATGAGAAATGAGGGATTGGAGCCATGGAAAAACTTTCTTTAAAAAGAGAGAAAAAACAGGAACAGCTAAAGCTGGATTTGAAATGCTAGTCTCTTCCCGTGTAGTCTATAAGTCAAAACCATTGCCCATGGCAAATTTTCCAAATTTCTCTGCCTTGTTGGCTAGTTTTCCAGTCCATCTGAGGTAAGAAACCATTCTTAAAGAGGTGGACTACTTGTAAGTTGCAACCTTCCTAAGAGCACAGAGAATTAAAACCTGACACCAGGAGAGGAGACAGAAAGTCACAAAACCAGATTAGAGGGTTCAAGTACAAAGCATCTGGAGACATTTAGTAGTAAGTTGTCCTATAATCCCTGGGAATGGCACTGTGATATCATATAGTCAAAATGGTTACTGTTCATAGTGATGAGCTGAGTCATCAAGAAAAGGTTAAATTGTATTGAACAGTCTTTAAGGAGAAAAGAAATGAAGTATTTCAGACTTTCATTAAATAGTCAAAAGTTTCAAATTGTCTTCACTTAGACCAGTAGTGAGTGCCATTTGCATGGAAATGAATACGAGTGGTACCCAAAAAAAAACCAAAAAATGTTTTCAAAGCTATGTATTTAAATTTTTTACAAAACAACCTTATATCATCAAAGTACTCTCCATTACACTTAATACATTTGTCAAATCTGCAGTTGACATTCTTGGAAACATTTTTCAAACTCATCTGTTTGAATGGCTGGCAGCACCTCCCTTGTTTTTTTCTTCACCTCTTCTATGTCATCAAATCGCTGTCCTTTCATGTTCTTGTTCATTCCCAGAAACAAAAAGCAGTCTCATGAAGGGATGTCAGGTGAGTCAGGTGTGTGGGGCAAGGGAGGCATACTGTTTTTTGCCAAAAACTGGTGCACAAAGATGGCTGTCTGAGCAGGTGCATTGTTGTGGCAAAACCAGTGCCCCGTCTGCCCCAAATCAGGCCTTTCTGGTTGCACACTGTTAGGCAATCTTTTCAGAATCTCTAAATAGAAAGCTTGATTAACAATCTGACCTGGTGGAACCAACTCCAAATACATTATCCTCCTCATATTAAAAAAACACAAGCATTATCTTGATCTTTTATTTTCGCGCAATGAGGTTTTTTTGAGGGGATGGGGGTGGGCGAGGTGACAATGGCTTCTTCCACTGCCTTGATTGATGTTTGCTTGGGGGCTGGACGAATAGCACTATGTCTATCTACGGTAATGACTTGTAAAAAACTCTGGGTCACTTCGGAGCAGTTTTCTCAAGTACAGCATGTTTCCACTGGACACTCGTTCCTGGCCAATGAAAACCCAAAGAGACACAAATTTTCCCGTGACCCTTTTCATTCCCAAATCTTCTATTAAAATTTGCTGAACCGAACTCCAAGATAGTCCAGGTAACTTACCCATCTCTTCAGTGGTCCGTCCTTGGTCTTCAAGCACAAGGGCACAAATTTTGTCAGCATTTTTCCCCTTTCGGGAAGTTGGCAGATGTCTAGAATGAGGTTTGTCATCAATTGGTATTTTACCTTTTTGAAACCAGAAAAACACTCATACACTTGAGTTTTTCTCATAGCGCTGTCCTTATAAACTGTGTTCAACAACACAGCAGTTTCTGGGGCATTTTTCCCAAGCAGGAAATAAAAATTTCATAGCTCCACACTGTTCTGTTAAATCGGCCATCACAAACAACAAGGTTTGAATGAAACTTTTAATGAAAAAATTTCCTGTGACCAGAGAGAACCTTCCCAGGTGCACTAACTCAGAGTAAATTGCATATTGTTCCCCTAGTGGGAAAAATGCATACTGTGAAAGCTCTGCTGTGTGGAGCTTTTTTCTGTTTTTTTGGGGGGGAGGGGTACCCCCTCATATTTAATTTCTTCGTGGATCCATAATCCATAATACTTTATGACAGTCGAGTCTTCTTCAGGAGAATCCAGTGTCTTGGTAGTCTGTTAAGTAAGTGGTCTGAAGAAGGGAAAGTGTTTTTCTGAGTTTTTATGAAGAACTGTCTAATCATAAATAACCCTGGCGAATATGGTAGTTTCAGGATTGACTCCTGAGAATCAATAAAAAGATACATTGACAAGGAACCTATTTGGTGATGAAATGTGTAAATAAGTAAGTATACTTATCACAGAATCCTTAAGTAAACTTTCCCTTCAGCATGGGACTATAAAAAAGTAACAAGTTTTAACTTGATCCTTTACTAATTGTTTTTCAAATAACTGAAAAATACTTTTTTTTTTTTTTTTTCCTCAGGATGGTCTGCTTGTCCTTCATTATGGTCTTGTGGTTTCTCCTCTGAAAATAACCTGAAAATTCTAGAAGTATTTTGAGGAGGGAAACAGAGTGAAGAGGCTTCTTCTACAGGACTGCATCTCACCAAAGATTTTTATGAAATATGTAATTGCTACCTACCACTTTGTGCTGTTTGAGTAAGAGTTTACCTATTTTCAGCACCAAGAACAATAGCATTTATAAATACAACTTAGACTGATGGAATGCACTATTTTACTACAGACTGTTTAAAAAATATCCATAGCTCAGGGGTAAAATTTTAAACATTGCATTTTAAAATTCTAATTGATTTAAGAACCTTGACGTTGATTTTTGCTTCCTTTTCTCTGAGGCAGATCAGTTACTGTGTTCTTCATTGAGCCATAGCCCTTTCACGTTGGTGGCTGGGATTCTGCTTTCAGGGATGGTATCACTTGGTCAGTCATCCTTTGGAAAAAAGTGTGCTTTTGAGCTGGAGAGAGCTAAACCCTCTTTGTTTAACTCCAGGGTATGATCTCAGAAAAGATCAAAAGTATTAGCCAATTTTGCATTTTTGCCATCTTAGTTTCAACTTTAAAAAAATAATAACAGCAACACTACTAAAGGAATGTTACTGAATTCTAATATGAATAAATTAGCATCTTCTATGTGAAGAGAATGTTTCCTATAAGAAGATATATGGACCGTATTATAAGCTTTCAATGTAATAAGACTTCCTTAATATATCCTACAGCAAGGTGACTCTGCTATGTCAGTTTGGTTACCACTTATTTTATTTGAGTACATAATGTGGTGTGGATCCCTTGTAACGGCACAGATTCTTCAAGTAATAAATGTTAGATGAATTTGAGAAGTGTACAGAATATGTCCTCATTCCGTTTAATAATAATTTTCCCATTATTTTTCCCCAGTGGTATATAGAAGAAGGATGTTTGTGAGCCCCCTCCCTTGCAAATATTTGTTGTAAACATTTTGCCAAAAATAATTGTGATGGTTTTTTTTAATGCTTTCTAAAATAAATATTTTGTAGGCCCTATTTCACAACAAAATTTTCAGCTATCTAACAATGGTTATGAAGCTGGACAAGAATTGGCAACTGTTTTATAAATTTGTTGATTGTATATAAATCTCTTCTAACAGATAAAATTATTTTAACCTAGTTTGAAATACTAGTTTTTGCTATTAATTTGTGTACAAATAACTAAAATTAGTTAAAAGTCAGATGTCTGCAGGTTCCAGCCAAAATGGCATTTTTGTCATACTATGCTATGCCTACCTCTACATCAAAGATCTGAGAAAGGGGAAGTTCTGGAACCCTGAGCAGCAAGTAAAGGGATGAAGAATTAGATTGGACACTGATTGGAAGAAGAAACTGAATGAAAACAGAACAAGAAAAGATGGAACGGAGGACATTGCTAGCTGTCCCAGAACAGCAAGGCCATCTTGAGCAACCCTAGGTGAGGAACACAGAAGTAACTTCAATGAATGTCTAATAGAACATAGATTGGCAGTGTAGAAATACCTGAAGTCAAATAAGGTCCTAATAGGTGACTGCAGCCAACAGGAAGCATCCAGGAGCCCTCATCCAGTGACCAGAGAAGCAGGTTCTCCTCTATTCTCCTGGGGATAAGCTGCATACAACCTCTCATTCCTGTAGTGCCAACTGCCAGGAACCAAGGTATGACTCTTCCAACCCCCCCAAGTTTTCTTCCCACCTAACCCCAATCACTACTCCTCCACTTCTATTTTGTCCACCAGTCCAGCCAAACGTCCTCTCCTTGCCCATCAAGGGGCACCAAACTCAAACTTGCACTAGCCTGCCATTCACCTCCCCTCTCCCTGTACTGTGTGAAAGGAGGCAAAACTATCCTTACTAACCAGCCCCATCTAACATACCTATACTACATCACCAAGTGCCACTGTGTAGTATCACTGAATCAGTGACAAAGAGCAACCAATGCTTGTCCAAGCCATCCTTAACCACCTGCAGTATCAGTGAAACATGTGCCTATACCCTGCCACTGGCACATACCTGTAGATTGAATTTGAGCGCTTTATTGCAGCAAGACTGTCTGTATGCTTGGATGCATCAAAAACATTTAAAAATCAGGACACAGCAAATAAACAGATGAGGGTAAGTAAAAACGTATGTATCCCTGTGAGAAACAGAAGGATTTCTCTCAAGCTGTCTCCCCCAAATATATGCCAGACTTAGCTGCTTGAGAATGATGACTATACACTTGGAGGTCATCAGAAGTAGATGACTATATACTTGGAGGTCATCAGAAGTAGAGGTCATCAGAAGTAGTCATCAGAAGTAGCTGAGAGCTATCAGCTGTCTAGACCAAGCAGACACCACCTTTTATCCCACAACAAGTAGGGCCCACTCCCTTCTGATAAGGATAGTAGTTGTGTGTTGACTTGTAGGAGACACCAGAGAGGTCAAACCCGCCCAAGGATGACCAAGATTAGGCTGCCATCATGAATCTAGGGTCCGCCCATCTTGTTACATGTATACCCCTAGACCTTCCCATTCCTGTAGGCACACACCTAGCTCATCCCCTTCCTGTTACGCTTATGCCTATCATAGATCCCCTTCCTACAATGTGTATGCCTATTGTACTGCCCCTTCCTGTGACGTGTGATTCTATAATTATGTCCCCCTAAAGTGATATAATGCGTGGTTAGCAATAAAGAAAAGGCTCTGTCCGACTCTCGGAGGCCTAGAGGCTCCCCAGTTCTCAGGTGCCGAGGTTGCTCCTGCTCTCGGGGCTGAGGTGAGCAATGCTACCATGAATTGTGTCTGACTCCATTTATTCCAATCTCTCTAACTCTCATGCTCTCTATGACTTTACTATAATCTTATTATCACTGTACAATTACGCCTACCAGACCTGTGATAGGGGGGGACCCCCTCCCCTTCACCTGACATATCCCTACAAAGTCTTAAAACTTTATTATAAAAATATGAAGCTATTCTTGACATATTCTCCGTCTAGGGCTGCAAATTTTTAAAGGCAGTGTTTCCAGCTTTTCCCAAGAATTCTGTACTCTTCAATGTACACCATGTCAAAACATGGTTTGGGCATCCTCAAGGCACTCAAATTGTATTCTTTTGATGCTTTCTTTGAGCTTGGGGAACGAAAACACATCTGAAGGGGCAATATCAGGGCTGTATGATGGGGGTGGGGGTAAGGTTCCTCCAGTGCAATTGTGTAGGACCACCACTGCTACCCTCGAAGAATGAGCATGTGCATTGTGGTAGTGGAAAAAAGGTTCTCATCACTCTGAACTGTTCTCACCAAAGCGGTTTACATTTTTTCTAAAAGTTCCTAATGCCCTATGTCCTATAAGAAACTCTATTAAGAATCCCCCTTTAGAAGTAAAAAAAAAATTCAAAAAACCAATCTGCCTATCCTGAGTTGACCTTTCTGCCTTGAATTTAACTGGCCTACGAGATCGTCCTGGGAAGCCACTGTTCTGATTGGACCATTTTTCTTGAAGGCATCCTAGTACGACTGAGACTAGTGTATTACTGAGGGAATCTATCTGCAGTTACACACTGATGACAGGCATGTTTAAAAATTTCTCTTCTAAATAAACCCAGGCATATATGAGCTTTTTTTATCTACCCACATTCAATAAATGAATATAATAACACCCTCATTAATATCTTAGAAGCAACAGGCAACATCAAATTGCCTGAAGAATCAGGACAAAATGGCCCACAAAAATGACCAAAATACCTGGAAAACTACCTGAAGGAAGAAATGATAGCAGAACTACCTGTTAATAAATTCAAAAGACAAAGAACAAAGATAATTGGAACTATACAAAAATAGTAACTAGAACTTCAGAAGGTTAACTATAACTCTAAATTTTTTGAAACAGATACTGCATTGGAAGTACAAAGTAATTTAATCTGCACGTCAGAATCAGTGACAGGACAAATCCCTTGGTACCAATCTGTCAGAGGTACCTCTGTCAGAGGAACAATGAAGAGGGCCCAGGTATATGTGGGACACCATAAAAAGGAATAATTTATATTAATTGATCAGCATTCCAGAACAGGAAAAGGACAACAATGAGAAAATCCAGAGAATCTTCAAATATTTTCTGGCAGAAAACATCTTTAATATGAAAGATGAGATGTTTAAGAAACAACAGAAGGAAACACTGTGCAGTCCTGCGCCATCCTCACAATTGTTCTGTGCTTGAACGCATTGCTGTTGCAGCCATGTGTCCATCTCATTGAGGGCCTAACCTCTTTTTTGCTGTCCCTCTACTAAGCATAATGGACATTAGTTTTATATGTATAGATCCTTATCCCAGGAAGTCATGAGAAATGGACCCTACCCTTCTCATTTATTTATACTTATGTACGTGACATACCAGGTGAACCTTACATGAATTAAATTTGTTTAGATAGGCATGTCAGAATCTGCTGCTGATTATATCCCAAAACTTTAATCCTTATACAAGTGATTTTAGTTATACTTTGCTGAGCAGTTTATAACTAAAGCATGTCATTGAACCAGAAGGAAATATCTCAGACTTAAATAGAACAGAGACCACTTGCCTCATTAGGGGAGAGAGTAGCCATGTGTGATGATCACAGTTATTAATCAATGAGGAAGCAAGCCTAGAGACCCCTTGAAGCCTCTTCACTTTTCTTTGTAGCCTCTGCTCTCTCTATTTTGTTACACTATTCAGGATCACCAGGGCATAGAAGCATATCTGCAGTGTGACCCACTCCGGTTTCTTATTCTTGTGTGTGTGTTTAAATGTTTGCAAGAAGATTGCTATATCATCCTCCCTTGTCCGCACCCCTGCTTAGGAAGCTTGAAATACCAGACCATAAAACATGAGGACAATCAGATCATTTTCTAGGAGATCAATAGAGGAGGACGGAAGCCTCGTGATCTACATACTAATCATTTTCTTTATCCTTTAAGGACGCGCAGCAGAGCATGGCAATGTAATAAAAGCAGCCCTTTGTTTGGCTGGATTCAGGAGCTCTCATCTCATTAGGTGGCAGGTCCATTTGTCATATTTGAAAATAGTAAAATACAGAATGACATGAACCTAACCTGTGCATTACATCTGAACCGGCAGCAAAGCCAGCAGTGTGTGTTTTATAAAGGAAAGTAAAATTTAACCTAGGAGCTCTGTTTTAAAGGCCTGCAATCTCTCAGTTATTTTTCTTTTTTTTTTTTCATTTTTATATTACTATATTACCTTTTACTTACACCCAAGTAAGTATTCTTGGGTAAAACCTCAGATGTTTTTACCAAAGCTCTTAAAGATGTTTTGATAATACAATAATAAAAATAAAATAGATATTAATTGGAAATCAGTGAAGCATGAGCATAAATAAGCAACATTTCCTGCTCTTTTCCAGGGAGACTTCTGACTTTTTTTTCTCTGGGTTCTGTTTTGAAATCAATACCTACCTTTGTTAGATCTGGCGTATGATGTCCTAATGAGACTTCTAACTGGGTTAGGCCCAGGGTGATTGTACACAACAGCCTCAGATGAAGCAGAAGGCACAGTAGACTTCTAGAATTCTATGTTTCTGACAGCTTATTATAAATTCCCTACCAATGGATTTTTAAATACATTTTTAAAATGGTTTCACTTTTGCCCTTTGAACCATGAATGGTTGCCTAAAGATGAGGCTCTCTGCACTTCTAAAGGTGTGGTTTACTCTCCTATAGGGTCTCTGTGAGTTGGAATCCAGATTGCAGTGGGTCGGTTTTCCTGACAATGGCTGAAATCTCTTAGCCGGTGCTATAAAATGAACTCTTGAGAAGCCCAGCTTTATCCCTTGAGAAACTGCCCATTGCCTCATTTTTAGGCCCTTGATGCTGTGCTACAGAATTTCTTTGCAAGACTGTAAGAGAAACTCTCCCTCCTGTTTCATAACAGGGAAATAACACCCTGCTCCCACCTAACTTTTAGCAGAAGCAGAGGTGACTCGTGGTTGGATGGGCCCAGAGCCCAGTTTTGAGTTGCCTCTGCCTCTGCAATGCAGAGAAGCAGAAGGCACAGGCAGTCTGCAAAGCGTAACAGCTTGCTTGTAGGACTTGGTATTGCCAAGAGTTTCTGGGGCACAAAAGCTTTAAGGGCAACCTATTGAAAAATAACACGAAATGAAATGAGCTGATGCCAAGGGCTTAGGTGGAAAGCAAATTTTTTTAGAATGATGAGGCAATGAATGTACAAATGTGTTTTATACAATTGATGTATGTATGGATTGTGATAAGAGTTGTATGAGCCCTCAGTAAAATGATTTAAAAAAACATGAAAGATTTCTACTGCAAGTGAAGCGGCTTTCTTTTACTTAGGTGGGGAGCAACGCAGGGAGAAGCAAACACTGTGAAGTCAGATATAACTTCAGATTCGGGTTTAGCCTTGTCCTTCTGAAGCTCTACTCCCACTTGTGAAATACAAAACTACCCTCATTGAGTGATTGTGAGGTTCAGATGAAATCGTGTTTACTGCTTATTATAATGCTTATTACATAGCTAGTAGATACTGAATAAATTATAGCTATGGGGCCCTGTGGGTTAGGCATTGGACTGCTAACTGCAAGGTAAGCAGTTCAAAGCCACCAGCCATTTCACAGGAGAAAGAAGAGGTTGTCTGCTTCCATAAAGGTTTACAAGCTAGGAAACCCTACATAAGGGTGCTGTTAGTCAGCACTGACTCGATGACCACTGTTTTTACTGCTGTTATTAATAAATTTTTATGATGCAGAGGATCTCATTGTCTATGAATCCGAGAAGTCAAACTGCATGTCATTTGAGTTCTGTGCAGATTAGCTTTCCCACAATTTAAGAGGCTCATTTTGTTATCTGTTTGATCACAGTACTTGATGCTTGCTTCCTTTCTCATAATGTGTCTTCTATGCTGTCTGTTGTTCCGATTGTAATGATTTATCAACTCAAGAAGTTTTCATTATCTTTTATAGATGATTTCATGTAGTGATGATGCAATAAAAATAGGAGAAAGATACAAATTAGAGCCAAGTTAAGAAATTATTTTGGTCTTGCTTACAGGAGGGCCCATAAACCAAGTAGAATTCTTAGAAGCAGCAGCCAATGTATATACTCAAATCATGTATCGAGATGATTGTTCTAAAAGAGATCCTAAAAAGAGCTAGTTTTCTAGTGCAAGACTAACATCTCTTCTTACTAGCAGTACCATCAACATATCTGAGTGTCTTACAAGTACTCAGCTAGTTGAGTTGAAGAGCACGGTACTGTATAGGATTGAACAAACCCAGCTTCAACTATCAGCTGTGAGTTAAATCTATATATCTCATTTTCAGTCTCTATTTTTGGAAACTAGCCTGGCCTTATGGAATTTCAACTTGGCACCTATGAACTTATGGATGCCAGATAGAAGTCCTGGGATCTGTTAAAAGTGTGTGTGTGTGTGTCCTTCTGAGGAAAGGGTTCATAGCTCTTTAAGGCATCAGTAACCCAAAAAGTTTGAGAATCACTTCATTAGGGAAAAATTCCATCATTGCTGCCCATGATCTGGGTTCTGCAGTGGTAGATCTCATTTCCAAAGAAGGAAAAGATCCTTATTTTGAATTCCATCCTGTATCTTCTGCCAGTGCATTCTCAAATGGTGTGCCTAGAGCCATGGTATTTTCAGTCACCTCATATACATATCAATGTTGGACATTGAATAAGGAAGATGGAAGAATTGATTAATTTGAATTACAGTGCTGGTGAGGAATACTGACTACCATGGACTGTTAAAAGGACAAACAAGTCTGTCTTGGAAGAGGTATGGCTGAACACCTTAAAGGCAAACACAGCAAGACTTGGTCTTACATATTTTGGATATATTGTCAGGCAAGATAAATCCTTGGGAAAGGACACAGTGCTTGGTAGAGGGACAAGAAAAAAGAGCAAGGCCCTCAATGAGATGGATTGATAGTGGTTACAGCAATGGGCTCAAGCATAGGAATTGTGAGGATGGCGCAGGACCAGGCAGTGTTCCGTTCTGTTGTGCACAGGGTTGCTATTATGGGTTGGAACAGACTCGATGACACCTAACAATGAAATCATGCTTCAGGTGTATAATGGACTGTCCTTCATACTTTGAATGGCTTCCTGCTTCCCTTGCCATGAGATTACCCACTCAGTGCACTGCTCGCTGCTGACAAGACTATCTGAAACCAATGCAGGCAACAGCCCCAAGGCACACTCCAGAGAACATCTTATATCTGTGGGAAACAGAACCATGAAGAGTGTATGCCCGCAAACTCTCTACCCTCATATTTAAGGAGTCTGGGAGGCAGATTCTGGTGGAGAAATGCCTTCACATTAGTGAGTTGGAGATGCATATCAGTCACATTCCCGAGTTATTTCCCACAATGATGCCAATTGTTACATGAATGTACCTGCCTGTCACATGTATGACTCTACCTCCCCTTCCTATTGCGTGCACACCTGTAGCTCGTCGCCCTCCTGTTACTTGTATGCCTCTAATACAACCCCTTACTGCTACATGTGTGTGACGTGGCTTGCATGCCTGAGATTATATAAGCTTGTAAAAGAATACATTCTTCCCTCACATTGGTTCCAGTGGCCAGGGGAGAGGTGAGCACTTGCATGCTTTGTCTTGTCTGATGTTTCTTTAATTTACCCTTCAATTACACCACCGCCCTCTAGAACCCATTGGAATGTGGAGGCTGGTCCCCAAATATCTGAATTCTTTGGAGGCATAGTTCTTTGACCCAAAGCAGCCCCTCCCTCTGTGAAACAACAAATCACAGAACATACATGTTGGTGAGATTCGTGTGACTTTTAATTATTTTACTAATGTCTTACAGTATGAGTGAGGAGTAAAAGAGATGGGGCAAGGTGAAAAAGTTTCAAGTTCCTTTAATTATTGAGGCATGTGCTAGAAGAAAGTTCGGTAGAAGCATCCCATCCGTGTTACCCCCAGCTCTCCGTGGAGATGTGTAAAGGACATGGGAAACGCTGGTGGGAGTGACAGCTGACAGAGGGTAAGCCCTGCATTGATCTTGGCACACCAGGAAGACTGGGCAATGCAGATGCCACACAGCGGGGGCGATGAGGTGGCTCACCAGAAGCTGCTTCCTAGCAGGTGAGCAGGGACCTCGGTAGCCCTGCTTTGTTCTGAACGCTGCCTCTTCTCCGTCAGAGGAGGCCCCTTCAGTAGAGCGGCGATGTGGGAAGTGTTGGGAAAGGATTCTCTTCAAAAAGAGAAAGACTTCATTTTCCATATGTGCTGGTGGTATTGACTGACCCGAAGTGGTTTTATTTTTGACTTTGGGGCAGTAGCATTGTGTCCTGGTGATAAAATAGCCTATGCTTTTTTAAAGGCTCTGCAGAGTGAAGATAGGGGAGAAGGTGGCTTCTAAGGGTGAGAATATGAACAAGCTACTTCTACATCACCACAAATGAACTAACACAGAGAGAGGTAAATAAGACACTGGCCTTTTCCATCCATAGAAATACTCACCTCTTCTAACACTACTAAACCTAAGATCAGCTTAATCGTAGCTTGAGATAACTATCATTGTGCTAACATTACGGTGAAAAGCTATATTAGTAGTCTTTTTTTCCCTTCTAATTAAATGGATTTAAGCTGAAAGCCTAAGATCTAGGTATTCTTTTAAGAATTTTATGTTTGAGGACAACCCTTAAAACTCATCATTGCCATTTTTTTTAACCTACATGATTTGAGGGATATGAAATGAGCAGGAGTAAGTCATTACACGAATCAGATAAATGGTCAACATGCATCTAATTTTACCCATTGAGTAAGGAGCACTCAAGGGGGTGGGGTTCAAGCTCTTTTGTTAAGAACCTAAATGTGTTCTAAAGGGAAGGAATCTACAGGGTTCCCACCCCTCCCTCTCTTCTTTCCTTCTCTGGATAGAAGAAAAAGGTATACAGAATTGAGGTGGGGGTGGAAGGGAAAATGTCCATTAAGCAAACACCTTATAATTTGGGAACGGGTTCTATCAGAGTAGAGTTGAGTGTGAACCATAGACTTATCTTTGGCAGTGATCTGATGTTTTAGGTCTCTAAAGTGAGGTTATAAAGCAGGGTGAACGGCTGGGTATAGTGAGTGAATGTAGGTTTTAATTGCCTTTCGCAGCAAATGACTGATGATCACAGATTTAGCACCTTGGTTTGTACTTCCTCTGCACCTGAATCATCTAGCGCTGTGAAGCCTGAGCTGGAGGTGAGATTGTGAGATTCTTGGGGAACTCTTCTGTGATTGCTCCAGTGCTGCAGCTTGCTCCAATGTAGGGGTGATTTTTCTACTAGAGAAAGTATTCAATACTAAGTATGAAGCCTTGAAGACGTTTGATAGTGGGGACATCAAATGCATATTCCCACTTAAGCATGGACTTTTTTTAAGCAACTGAATTATATTTTTTGGCCTGAAATGGTGCTTTCTTCTATATTTGATTTCTCGGTTTTCTTAGTAGCTATGACTGTCTCCTCCAATATTTCTTCGAAACTTTCCCCTATCTGGGAGGTTTTCTTTGAGGCCCCCTTAGATGCCTCCTCATCTTCCTCCTCTTTCTTAGTGGATGAGACCTTGGAGGTTGTAGAGCTGAGGATTCTAGGTGGAAGCAGATAACTTGGATTGGGAAGTGGATTCAGCCCTGAAATGCTTAAGCCACTGGTACTAAAACGGGTCTCTTCACCTTCCAACAGTTTCCTGTAAATTCAACAGAGACAAATCATCAGGAAGTGAACTTGCAACTTTTAAAAAATCCCCTCCACCTTGCCCAAAAAGTTACCATGTATACCTGTGTAGGTACATACATTCCTAATTGCACACACACATAGCCATCCTCAGCACCATCTGTATTCAAGGCACCGGCAAAGGGAAGCATTACAACTCCCCTTGGCCACATCCCACCCATAATTGGCACGTAAGAGTCTCAGAAACTCCAGGGAGAAGTAATTTTGCTAATTAGCATCTTAAATGCAACAGGGATAAGGAGGGCAGACGTCCACACGGAGGGAGGGAGGGAGGGAGAGATCACATCCTTCTTGAATTGGAGAGTAGTGCTTTTCAATGTAGAGTGGAACAAGAGGAAGGGAGCCAACAGTAGACACCAGTAAATGAACTGTCACACATAGCAGACTTTTCTCAGCCCGGCCTAGACTGTAATACAAAAGCACAGCCCCAATACCTGCTGCTCATGTCCCATTAAAAAAAATCAGAATGAAAGAAAAAAAAATCAGAATGAATACAAGAAAA